CAAACACGGTATTTCAGCCCTCCGAGGAATATCAGCTTTGCCATCAATGTTAAAAGCCCCTACAAAGACAGGATTTGTTAGTGCCCCTCTGTTTACAGCACATAAGTAACAACAGCATGCTGCAGAAGAAAGTGAAAACCCAAGCATCTTTGTCAATGTATTTTTTCGCTCTTCCAAACGCACATTTGTATTTAGTGCCAATGTAAGAAGAACAATGTAATTGTAATGAGCATGTAAGAAGAATTAAATCAACTAAGTGTAGAAGAGGATTTTCTCTGCAACTGTGTATAGAGTGATCCTGCTCAGTGTCCTCTTTCCAAAGACGGATGTGGTGTCTGACTTAGGAGCACAGATTCGATGTAGCCAATTGTCAGTGTTCTGAATTACCCTCTCATTTAGGTCCTTTGATTTACCTGCTGGAAAAGACTGCCTCCACTGAGTGACTCTAGCTGTACTGCAAGGATTCTAAATTTGATGTCCATAGTTAGGTGGTATGAACGCTCCCCTATATAGCTTTTTGTAGGCAGTCCCAAAGTAATGATTACATTTTCTGCAAAATTGATGTGAGACATCAATTACAGAATTTTTAGTGGCATAATGAAGTATATACAGTAAGGACAGAGTAAAGATTTACTTACAATTAAGCTAGGTGTAATTTTATAAAAGCAAAAAAGTAGTCTAAAAATTTCAGGTATCTGTGCATTTTGTCAAATATTTAAAAAGTGCAAAGCTGTGAAAATGTTGCATGTGGCTGAAAAAATTCTGAACTGGTCAGATGTGGTGGTTAAAACCATTCATGAAAATACAATCATCTATCATGCAAATTACATTTGTAAGGCTATTTCATTAAACTTTTGTAATGATAACTGAAATAGTATACAGGTAAGTTTGCAGTAACCCATTTTTTCCAAAAGCAAAGTATGTGTATATGTATAAATATATGTATATATTGGTTTATAAGTGTGTATGTGTGTGCATATGTATACATGCATGCATATATATGTATAAAGTTTGTTTGCCGTGGCCATCTTGGTGTAAGTATGAATAATACACTATATGCTATTTTTAATATTAGGAAAAAATAAAGTTACATTGTAAAGTCTCAAAATAATAATTAGTTTGTTAATATATTTCATTTTAGATATCTGAACAAAATGGTGATTTTTATACAGAAGTGGTGGAGAGGTTATCAAAGCAGAAGATACTTCAGAAAAATGGTGAAGGTAGAAAACTAGTTTTAAAAATTTTCTTTGGTTATTTATAGAATACATACGAAGTAAGTAATTCACTCATCTTGAAATTAAAAAGCTGAAACTTGATCCTTTGTACACACAGACACATAACTTCACTATCATGAAAAGCACCATTAATTTCAGTAAGCCTACTCATAACCGTCAAGTTAAGTCAGTGTTTAAGTGTTTGCAGCTCTGGAGTATCAGTCCCCAAACCAGCAATGAGATCTGCTCATGCAGAAGCCTGCCCGCATGATGCTAATTGCAGGATTGGAGGTTTTCAAGATGCTTTTTTTCCTGGCAGAACTTTTAATTCTGAAAATAAAATAAGCCAATGTGTCTACACATTGCTGTTCTATGTTTTAGTTGTTTAAATTTCTTACTTAATGAACCCTGAAGTATTTGAGGTTTTGCCTTAAGGCACACAGCAGATCACAGTCAATCTAATTCTCTTGACGGTCTTGAAGATAGCAGAAGTGTATGATAGCACACAAGCTAAAACCTCTGTTAACAGGTTTAGGAGATTAAGAAGAAACTAATGTGCCCTTAAACATAAAACAATCAAGTTTTTAATATGTAGTTTACTTCATGAATTTATCAATTTATGTTAATATTTTACAATAGTTTTAAACTTGTTAGTTGTTTATTCTTGATTAATTTTGTTAAATTGTTGCATTTCAGTCAAAACAGACAAGTCGAGAAAAAGCAAAAAAAAATGAACCATAATAACTCATAGATTACAGGCTAAAGTCCATACCTCCTGCTAAACTATGTTTTCAGGTAGCAGGATTTGTCTATTTTCCCCCCAAGTCTACCAGTAATCTAATTAAAGATTTTATCTCTTCCAACTTATCTGGCTTAACTAATAAATTATGAGTCATCCTTTCAGTCTATGGTTTTCAGTCTACCTTCTAAAACACTAATTTTTGAATACAGGGCAGATAGCTGCATGGTTGGATTGGGTTCTGCTTTAAAAAAAAGTGGGACTTCAGTTGAATCTTGTCCCTGAGTTTAGGGAAGGTTTGCTTAATCTAGAAAAGCTTCTGTAGGAGAAGAGAAACATGGTAATGTTAATGTATGTTAAAATTTGTTAATGAAAAGAAAGAATCTGTGCAGCCACTGGGAAAAGGGAAGGAAGAAATCAACTTCATGTGAAACACTGACATATACTGCCAAAAGATGTTGTGGAACTCCCTCTACTGCAGGTTTTTAAGAGCAGGTTAGAGAAATGCTTATCATGGATGGCTTAGATATGGTTCAGGCAATGTTTTAGGTGAAGTCATCTCATGACGTCCCCTCAAGTTCTACATTTTTTCACAGTTAAAACATTGTAGAGTGGTGAATTTCACTTCAGACACAAGGTGATTTATGTGTTTCTGTGTCTTTCAAGATGAGAATAAGAACCATGTCAGGTTTTGACATCTGATCATTAGGTCTTTAAGAGGGCTTAAGCAGGACAAAGATCTGATGGTGGCCATTTTACACATTTTTCAATCCCCCCAAATTGTAAGGAGCAATCTTTTGACCACCCCAAGTTCCAATGCTAATTTCTTTGTTGATAGTAATCAGTTTCCTATTTTAAACAGAATGAGGTCACTTCAGAGACTTATTTTTATATATAAAGATTGAAAAAACAGTGATGCCCAGATAAGATACCAAATGAACACATCACCACTGTGCCTACTGTCCATTGCACAGTTCTGAGCGGTGCCCTGTAAGTGAGATGGCAAGATAATTCTTCCCAGAGGGCAGCCTGCAACCGCATTTGGAATTGGTGCCCAGTGACAGGATGAGAGGCAGTGGGCACAAACTGAAATACAGGAAATTCCACTCAAAGATAAGAACAAACTTTTTTTACTGTGACGGTGATCAAATACTGGAATGGGTTGCCCAGGGAGTGAAAGCTGTGCTTGTTGAGTCTCCATCCTTGGAGATACTCAAAACCCAACTGAACGAGGCCCTGCACAACTTGCTCTGATTGACCGTGCTTTGAGCAATGGTTTGGAGCAGAGCTCCCTGCCAACCTCAGTTGTTCCATGCATCTATGAAATTGGAGGTCTTTTACCTCATCTCTTTATTACTTTCTTCTTCTCCCCTCTCTTAAAAAATGCTCTGACAGTTACATTCTAAGATAGAGTCTTTAAAATTAGCACAGGTTTCCTGTAATAACCAAGCTGAGATAGCTAGCATCATAAAACCCCCTCAGCTTTCCATTCTTGAAACGTATTTCTGAAAATAAAAGTAAAATTAAAAAAAAATTTTTAACAAATAAAGCCCAGTTCATATGTTGTTCTTCAAATAGACATAACTGACAAGCCTTTGCCCAGTGTGAAGCCTGTGGAATAATGTAGGACAAAAAATCGTGCAAGCCCACATTTAATACACACATTCTAAATCAGACCATGAATTCAGGTCTTGTGAGTGATCCAATATGAGCCAGGGCTCTAGAGAAACAGAATCTTATCAGCAAGCTTACTAATTATACAGCAATCAGCATAGAAAACCATCTTTTTCCCTCAAATGTTTCATTTTGTGCTTGCTGTCTCTTTGATCAGAGAGGACTAAATAGGACAGCCGGATTGGAGGCCAACCTGAAAGCCGTGCAAGTAGCAGATAAAAACACACCTTTTTCTCCCTTTAGACTGCTATATTCAGTATTGTATGTTTTGGGGTGGACAAAGTTCAAGTTCATTCCCTATATTCATTGTTATGCTGTCTTTACTTGATCAATGGCTGAATTTGGAATATTTTAAAAAGAAACAAAAATATTCTCAGCAGCTTAATGCAACTTTTAAGTTAAAGGATCAGTTAATGAACTCTTGCTAATAACTGTTGTAATGACTCCTGATTATGAAACGCAATGATACATTTGACATGATAGTTCCTTAAACGCAAAAAAAATTGGTCACTTTAAAATTTGTCCGCTGATAATAATTGGATTGGTATCTGCTGCCAGCAAACAAGGCAAAGCATATGCACAAAATACCCATGATTACTTGACAATAAATCATTTTAATGATTATATTCAAAATTGTGGAATGTGAGTGGTACTGATGCGGAAAATAACAAAGGCTGAGGCTCATCATATTGGCTGTCCGTATGTGCATCACTACTAGTATTTCATTTGTTACTCCTGTAGTGCCTCTTCCTTTGATGGTTAAAATATATTGTTAAAAAATAACTATTGATGTTGGTTACATGACTAAAGTTATGTGCCTTTCTATATTCTAAATGTAAGTGCTTTGGTATAAATCTTTGTTTCCTAATACTAATCTCAAACTAAAATTAAGAACTGCACTCCTATAGTTTTCCTAATAACTTAGTTACATTGGTTGTACTGGATTCTGAAAGTTTTGCATGACCTTCAGGAAAGTATGAATTTTAAAACCAGGCAAACACCAGAACATGAATCAAACTGTACATCAGTGTTTCTTTTTACAATATTTCTCAAAGTCAAGAATTCATTTGTTAAGGCAAATGGAATTGTAACATTTCATTGTTATATGAAGTCAGCATGCATGATGGCCATATTTTCAGCTCACTTTGGAAGGAGATGCCGTGGAAAGAAGTGAATATTTTATGTGATGTAGTTTGACACCACCCTAAATAGTTTAGCTTCAACTCGGTAACCGGTTTTAAATAGTCCCAGTCTAATAGGAATTAGGCAAATGCCTATTTGCTCTATTAAAAAAAAAAAGTGCCTGTTCCCAACTTAGACCATGTGTTGGTTCCTTCTCTCAATCTGGTCTCAATCAAATTTCTGGTTCTCCTTTCAATTTGTCACTTTGTATTAACTGTTTAAAGAAAAAGAAAACACCTATCAGGGTCTGATCACATTTATAGGTGATCCCCAAACATGTTTTTAAACAGAAGAGAAAGTAGTACAACAGTTTATACACAAAAGACTTCAAATATATTTTGGAATCATAGACTTAAAGTAAACTACTAGGGACACCTGTATATTAACATCAGAGACAGATACAAAGACTTCATGGTTCAGAAGTGGAGGTGGTGCATGTTGGTGAAAGGGCAAGATAATTCTCCCCAGAGAGCCAACCTTGCAGTGTCACCTTGGAGTTGGTACCCAGTGAAAGGATGAGAGGGAATGCAATGGGCACAAACTGAAATGCAGGAAATTCCACTTAAGCATAAGAAAGGAGTCTTCTGGACAAGAAGGCCCCAGTTCAGGAAAGAATCTTTTGTTTACTAGGGAAGCACGTAAATATACACTTGGGTTGAAGCACTAAGTTATGGCTATGCTTTTGTGAACAGGGATGAACACGTTCTTCATCACTTGTAATAGCAGAACTAGCACATATTATTCTAATCAGGATTAGAAAACAGATGGCAAATCCATTTGCAAAAGAACCTAGATGGTGACACAGACTTTGACTTTTGGTGCAAAGATAAGGTTGTAAGACAGTTACATGAGCAATTCTGCATTTGGCTGACTTGTGATTTAGAACAACGTTTTTTGGAATGTGTAATTTCTTTTTTATTGTGGGTGACCTTGTTAAGTAGTGGTAGGGTAAGGCCTGGATTTGTCACACCTAAGTGAGGTATGCAAGTTAGGACCCTAGTTGCCATTGACTATCTCTGCAAATAGTAGACATAGATGCAATTGCAGAGCTCTTCAATACTTTGCCAAGCTCAGAGGGAAAGTGGTCCCACTGTCTTTCAGTATTGATGATATAAAGAGCATACCGATGTTAGGTCTCCAGTTTAGGTTTTTCAGTGAAATAGGATGGACCTAAGAGCTCACAGCCTTCAAATATGAGAAGAATAAACAAAAATGTGTGAGATTGTTTAGTTTAATAATTGATGGACAGAAATCTGATGATAATTTTTAAGCTTAGGAATTTGCATTAAAAATGTACTTTATCTATTTGGTGGTGCAGCAACTATTACATTCCCTTCCAAAGAAAGAAAAGATGAGCTGCAAAACAAAATTGTATCAATTTAATCGAACAGTTTAAGAATATACTTAAACTGGCAACCATTATTTCATTCCAATATTAGCTATCTACAGTTAGTATCACTTAGAAAACATTTATGGAGACAAAAGGGGAGATAGAGTCCACTATTTATTCTAATTCATACCTTTGGGACAGAGATTCCCTCAAATATATATATGTATACGTGTGTAAACATGTACACATATATATGAAACTTTTTTCAAATTTAGCAGTCCTGCATTTTTCTTTCATATAAGAAATATCTTTTCTACTGTTTCCATTATTAGTAGATTGGTATGATATTAAAGTAAGCATTTAAAATGCACCTTAATTAAACTGTAGGAATTATGCCTTGCTTAATGTAATGAAGAAAGAGAATTTAAAATGAAGTAGCATCATTGTGTTCATTTGTAAATAACATATTGCAGCCAACTGTTTCTTAATTGCCCAGACTGTTGATAAATAATCCAGTCCTGCTGCTCTCCACAGACAATTTGCTTTGGATCAGACTAGGCAATTCAAATAACACTAATTACAGTGAAACCCTTTTATAGTGAATTCCTGTTTGCCATGGGGGAGAAAATCACTATATCAGGGGAAAGCACTTTTGCCTTTGATTTGTGTCTAAAACATGAGAAACACATAAAAGCTGCATGTTGTGCTAAATAAAGGACATACTCTTGCATTCAAAGTACTTATATTTTACTTTTTATGATACAATTGTGAATTATGTTCATTTTGCATTTGTAATTAGAGGGCGGAACAGATGTGAAAGCTTAGTTTAAAGTGATGTATCCATTAAAATAACCTATGCTGCCAAGTGATTGCTTAGTATAATAGGGGATTCGTTCACTATGAGAGGAATTCTACTTTATTGGAAGGAAACCAGGACTTCAGGAAATGTTTTCTATATCAGGGGATTCACTGTAACATGGTATCATTGTATTTATGATTTTATGATGTTAAAATGAATATTAAATGAAACAAAATTCCCAAGGATTACTCGGGAGGCAGCTAAGTACATAACATTTAGTACAGATGGTTGGAAGGCACAATTTTGCTCCATCACTGCATCCGTATCCTTGAACGATTTCGACTGAAGACAGCATTTCTTTGAATTTTTCATTAAACCAGACGTCTTGAAATATGAATTCCTTTTATGTTTCTGTGAGTTTTGGCTAAAAGAACCCCAGTGAATAAATCATACAATACTACGTGTCACCAGCACTTGTGAATATTTCTGCTTTGTTATTCTACTCTCAGTAGAGCACCATTGATTATCAAACTCAGCGGAGAGCATTTTATGATCATATATCTCCATTAGTTCCTAGTTTGACTACCATAGATTTTTCTGGTTAAGCCTGCATTATGTATTAGGAAGCCTATCTCTTCAATACAAAGTTTGATTTTATTCTCCCTAAGCCTAGAACTCTTATTATGTATTATGTATAAAGATTCTTATCTTTTATATGTAAAAATAAGAGCACTGTCTTTGTGTAACTGAAATATATGCCATCTTTTTTTTTCTTTGATTCACAGACAGCATATTTTATTATGAAGATGAATTTCTACAATGAAATGGCTGTCAGGGTAAATATTTCTTCACTTGTTAAACAAATGAAAAGTCAATTGTGCTCCGAATTTGCTTTTGATAAAATGAGCAAACCAGAATAATATACACTTGATTGATATGCTGATGGCAACAGTGGGAAATAGTACATAGTTAAAAATTAAAGTTACACTCAGTAGTCGGGGTGTATTTGAAAACTGCAGCTGAATTTAAGGCATCTGCATGTGTCTTGCCCCATTTAAATGTTCATTGTACCTTACCATATACGATACTGATAAAACCCCCAAACATTCTATCTTATTTTTACAAATGTAGACATATATTTACAATTCTGACAAACTATAGGACTTTTATGTTCATTGATGTGGCTGTGCTTTTTCTTTTGTTAGTACATGACATCTGATATATTGAATCTCAAAAGAGTTACTCAGAGAGCACAGAACAATTTCATTGCCTAAACGCAGAGGTGGAACTGCACTGATCTCATTGATGATATTATGAGTGAATTTTGCCAGACGAAGAAGAGTATAAACAGTCCTTGAACTCTAATAAATATACAGCAAATTATGTTTGTTATGGGGAAAACTGCAAAATATATTTAACTAGAAATTAGCGGTTTTTTCCTGAACTTTGGAACTGCACTTAAACAAATACGTAAAACAAACATGGGGACGTCATGAGATAATTCTTGGGATGAAATCTTTTTATCTTACTTAATTCTTTTATTTTGTGGAATAAACCTGCTTTACTTTAGAGGCCTATACCTTTTTAGGGAGGCATCTTACCTTTTGAATGCTACCAAATGTGGTGGGAAGGAGAGTAACCCAAGGAAACTCCTGTAAAGTAGGAAGATTCCCAAAATGGATTTTAATTTTGTGGCCTTTCTGGCTCCAAAATAACTCAGACTCAAGAGATGTGTTCCCATCAGGTTTTTGACTTGGTGCTGGTTCTCTGAAAGGCACAAAATAGAATCTTACATTTGGTGCGTGTTAGAGAGCTGAAGGTGTTTAACAGCAATCTAATTCCTCAGAAATGCACTTTTTTTTCTTTTAGTTTATTCCTTAGTTAGCTAGTTTGAAAGAATTCCACAGTGGATAAATGCTGTATACTCATGCAGCTGAAATCAGTGAGAAAACACAAGATGCAAGTCAGCTCTTAAAAGTTGGCTGTGTACTTTTATAAGGCATTTGAAGACCAAATTTCAGAGGTTATTATGTATTCTAGTCAAATGGAGTTTTGCATTTGGTCTTTCATTTTTAAAAGAAATTGAATGTGTTCCCATTCATTTGTAATGGAAATATAATGTTGAATCATTAGGTGATATAAATCTTCCAAGTACCATTTTTTCAGTCATGTCCTTTTCTTTAATGGAAATTTAAATCAGTAGAAAACAATAGAACAGATCTTTATTTAGTTGCAAATGTCAGAATCCAATTCTCCTCTGTCTAAATCTCATGCAGCCATATCTGCAGAGCAGATTTCAGATGCCACCATTCTGAAACACCAAATGTTTTTTTTTTTCTGTCATCTGTTTTTTGAAGATCTAACCAAGGTCCAGGACAATAGAGAATAAGGCCTGTTGGGTTTCTTCACAGAAGATGTGTGGCCAGACTTTAGGTTTCCTAAGCCAACAGTGCTTTGTATTCACACATTGTGAGCTTGATTCATGATTAATATACTTCAGTGTTCTGAAAATATAACAATAACTGTGTATGTTTTCATATTTAACCACTTAGTTTTGCCTCATAGTATTATTAAAATATTTATTTCCATTTATAGTCACTGATTAGAAAGGAACTTTTGATTTTGGCAGTTGAAGTATCATTGAGGGCATGCACATGTTCATAGTTTCAAAGTCAGTCTACATCTCTGTCTCCATGGATTGCATTTAGCTGTAACCAGAACTACCAGTTTCACCTTTTTAAATTAAAATCAGAGAACTCCTTTTAATCAATTTCAGTTTTGAGTACTAGGTCAGAATATGATTCTCTCTCTTAAAAGATTTAAGGTTGCTATAAATTTTCAGCAACAAAAGTAATCCTATGGAAAAAAAAAATTTCCATGAGCAGATGGCTTTTGGTATATCAAGGTTTTGCCATTTGTTTTAGTGCTTAAAATAAACATTATTTATAAGACCACTTACATTTTGATGTTACTTAATGAGGAATATGCATCATTGATTTGACTAGCTTAAGAGGTCATTTAGAACTTGCCCGTTAACAAGCTGTAATCTGCTGAGCACACAATGACTTTGTTTAAAATTATCTGTTCAGTGCTGATCAATGGCAATAATTGTTTTGTACCAATCACTGTTGAAACTTGCTAATTACTTTGAAGGGCATACACACTTGTCTCTTTTTTTCAAGAATTTTTCAAACATTCACCTTGGAATTAAAAAGAAATATAGTCGTAACACATTATACTTCCTTATAAAAGCAAACATTTAGAACTTTCGCATTGAAAATATGAACATCATCAGAAGCTTTGTGTAAAATGTTCTTTTCCAAAAAGATTAGTCTTCAGTTTTGTGATCTCTGACATACAGTATTAGGGAAACAGAAATCTAGCATAAAATAATTTGAGACATAGTGCAGTTTTTCTTACTTACGTTTCATTCAGTTGAAATCTGTGAGGTCATTCTGAATAGAAAGTGGTGTAAATAAAGGTAAAATGCGGCATTTAATTGGTGCACTGAGACCATTGGAGGTAATTATAGCTTTATACAATTTGAGTCTTTTGTCTTTCAGTTTGAGTTTTGATCCTTCAACCCACAAATATTCAGTTCTGCATTTATAACTGTGAGGTGAAGACTGTCAGGAAGAGTTTCAAAGGGACCATAATCCTGCATTAATGAGCACACAGCTATATGGGAGCCAAGTTACTCTTGTTGAGAAATTTTGAAGCCAAACAGAAAAACAAAGCTAAGATCCTTATTCACATGCAAAGGATTTTGCTTAATCCCAGGTCTCTGAAGGCATACTCATTCTTCGCTCTTTCTCTATCCCTTTTTAACCCAATAAGCTTGTGTATGAGAGAGTGGAGTTGCAAAGAGTATGAAATTTACTATCACCTAGTGCAAAGAAGCATGTCTAGTGCTTAACCTTTCTTGATCCCATGTTCAGCTGCTCACATAACTATTATTTATTCATAATGTAACGATGTCTAGAGGTCCAAACCCTTTTTATTCAAAAAAACCCAAACAGATAACAACACATAGGTAAAAGAAAATACCAACTTTTAAAATTAGTCCTGAGTCTTACTTGAGAAAAGAGGAAAATACACGGTAATGCACAAAGGGGAAATAGAAGAGTGTACTAACACTAAAAGTGAATGTTCTCTTATTCCTAATAGCTTTAGTGCATAATTTTATTTTCTTGGTGACACATCACTAAAAGACTTAATGAAAGCTTTCCTTTCTCTTGTTAAATCTCATGTGAAGAGAGAATTACAACTGTACAACAAGGTGCCATCAGCTGAGACTGAATGCTAGTTTTAACTTTAAAGAATAGTGTTTTGGCTTTTGTGATTGCAAAGTGGTACCAAAGACAAAGTATGAAAATATGTAGCCATGCCTTAGTTAGTCTGCTTATAGATGGCTCCAGTGTGTTACTGTTTTCAGCTCAGGAAATGGCAGGAGATGGAAAGTTGCTATAAATTGGACTGCAAGGTACAGAATTGGACTGCAAGGAAACTGGAAGGAGTAGAGAATTTTTCCTATTACTGAAGAGCACTCCCAAGACTTGATGATACAGACTCTGAAGTCACTGAGTGCAAAGGTTGATCGATATGTGGGGAACAGGCAGATTTTTTTCCCTTGCCTTCTTCCTGAATCAAACACAACAAAACATGATACTCTTTTTTTCCTTTTTTTACATGCTTCTTTGGAATAAGAGATAGGGTAAGAAAAAAACTACAACACAAACATATGGATTGCACTCCGCTTACCACGTCATACCTTGGTTCTGGAAAGAGAAGGGTTGGTGTAAAGGAAAAAAAGAAAAACATTCCCTGTAGATACACTGAAGAGTTTAAGTTCTTGTAAAGTCTAGTAGCCAGAGGCCCACAGGAAAAGGAGACCTCTTGGCAAATTACAACATTCTTCTCTTCAATACACTTAGTGAAGATGAGTAGCTTCTCACCTTGGAGTTGCTTCTGGATCGTAATACCTCAATCTTCTTGCTTTTTTAATGTAGATTCTACCTTTCCACTGTTATGTCTCTTAAGATTTCAAAGCTGTAAAGATCAAAGAGATGAAAGTTGGAGCAGAAGTGAAGGTAATGCAGACTAGAAGATAGAAATTTGGAGATTAATTTAGAAACATATTGAGAAAAAAGGAGACAAAATGCAAGGAAGGAAGTAAAGAATATTTTGCAGGACGATAAATAAGTTCAAGGATGGAATAATGTAAAGAAAGAGGAGCTAGACACTGAGAACAGAGGAATGTTTTCACACGTATTGATCTAGAATACACTGGCCTCTTATGGGAATGAAGATGAGGTGTGAGAGCAGCCCTCAGCATGACTGAATAGAGCAAGTTATGTCTTCCGCCTGTACATGTCATGGCGAGGGATAAATATGGCGAACCAAATGGCGGTGCTGATAATTTTTTACTTAATGAATACTTACTTTCCCTTCCCACAAAAGAGATAGGCAGTAAACCTGTAATCATTTCAAAAACATCATCATGAGAATTTTTAAGTATCAGAGAAAGTTTAAACTGTTTTGTTGAAATAAATTCTTGGGGAAAGTCAGGCTAGACTAAGCCTTTTTTTTTTCTCTCTCTCTTTTTTTTTTTTAACCTCTCTTTTTTTTTTTTTTAACGGATGCGTTTTAAAATGCACCAAAATGTGAATCCTTTCTGGTGGAGGTTGGTACCTAATTTCTATTCTTAATACAACTTTGGGACTAGCTACAGATAAACAGGTTTCCTTTTCCAGTTTAAGCTTTGCCTGTTATGCAGGAGGAATAGTATTTTGTGAGAAGATTATAACTAATGTGCAACAAGTAGACATGCATCATCTTACATTGGAGATGAAAGAACTGCAATTCATAAATGATGTTTCCAGAAAGTCTGATTCATTGAGTTACTGGGAAGGCTTCTATTTAGTTTAGATTATATCATATCCAGAGCACAAAGGTGAGAGTGTAGCAGAAGATATTGGTGAGGTTGTGACTCAGTAGGGAATGCATGTTGTACCTGAGAAAAGACACCACTTCTGTTGTCTGTTTTTTACCATTCTTACTTAAAGCAATGCCACTGGCAGTAGCAGACACTTCTTCTCTTTTCATTGCACATTCCAATATAAAGAGTGGTTTAAAACTTGACATTATTTTTTAAATGTTGGCATTTAATAGTGAATTCATATCACCATTTAATTACAATATGTTAACGTCCTACCCTCATTTTCTTCGTTGAAACATATTGGTGCTTCTACTTGATACCACTTTTAAGGAAATGACATTATTTGGGAAATACAACAGATATTTGATGTGCATGCAAACTTTTGATTTGAAATATACTAAGCAAATATTTATTTCCTCTAGATTCAGAAAAGGTGGCGAGGCTATTACGTTCGGAAATATATCCATAATTATTATGCATTGAAGAAATACCTGGAAGCCATTTCTGTGAATAACGAGATTGTCAGGTAAAGATAAAAATTCCATGTGGTAAAGCATTCATTTCCTCTTCTTTTATTTGTAAAAAGTTTATGGCACTAATGAAAATATTTCTTTGAGTGTAGGATCCCCTCTATTATCAAATATATATATATATCAGTCATCGTTCTCTTTATCCTAAGCCTATGCATGTTGTGCCACATTCTGTTCTCATTTATACTGTTATGAATCCAGAATAATTTCTTTGAATTAATTAGATGTACTCTGGGTTTATACTGGTTTAATAAAACCGAATTTGGCTCTTCAGCTTCAGAACTCATAGATTATTATGCCCTAAATACAGTTTGTTGAACTAGATTTTTTTTTCCCTAGTGTACACAAGCTAAAAAAATTTTCTTTTCATAATTTCTTTTGAAAATTGGTTATTGACAATGAAAAAAAGTGCAGATTTGGATCTAAGTTACATGCATGAGCCGTACTATGAATATTAATTGTGAAAGATACTGGTGTGGACATTGTGAAGCAGACTCTTCATAGTTACGGAAGAGATTCATTTGCCTATTAGATTTCTGGCTAGAATTGTTGTTGCTTTATGTTCCTACTCTATTTCTCCTATCTGCCCCTTGTCTTTCCCTGTACTTAAATTGAACGCTCTCTAAAATAGAGGCAATTATTTCCCTCTAGCACATTTGATGTCCTGATCCATTACTATTTCTTCAGATAACAGCAGAAACAAACAGGCAAAATACTGGGAGAGCATGATCATTACTTTCTCATTGTAAGTGAAGGGACGTTGAACAAAATCCATCCAGTTTTTGCTGCTCAGAAAGCCTGAGAAAAATCTTTGCTTTCTGAAGCATAGAAATATAAGGGAGTCTAGTGAAAAAGTGTTTCTGGAAGTCTCATCTAGATCACATGGCAAAGACAATTCAACCAGAAGACTGTTACAGAAAACAGCATATGCAAGTTATATATGAAAAAAAGAATTATCCAACTTTTCTGGATGCTGCTTATGAATTTATATTATTTTTCCACAATTATAGCTGATGCTACATCCTCTTTGTCATAGCATTATAACTCGTGCATTACATTGTTACATGTAATGAAGCATACTGATAACCGCCTATTTCCAATCTCTCATTACTATTCATTTAAATGTATTCTATGCAGAAAGTTAGATCATAACTCAGCAAAAACAGACTTAAAAAATCTGTCATCTCTTCAACTGTACCTTCTTGTTCTGAAATCCTTGAAACATGTTCTCTTCTTGAAAAGGTAGAGTCCTAGGAAGACTAGACCTAATCTTGGAAAGTAAATGAAGCCATAACTTTTCTGGTCTAAAATGAATATAACTGGGTGAACTGCAGTGACACAACCTCCTTCTCTGTTCATAATAGTTCTATCACTCCTCTCCATTCCCTGCCTAAACCTGGAACAAGGCTTATAACGTGTCAGTTAGATTGACCTTTGATGTGTGTGAACAAAACAAGATAGCAATTGCTGTACTGAACACAGATTGATGGGAGCTTTGTATTTTATATCCCCACACCCACAACAGATCTCTGCTGGGTACACCTAACTTTGGAGGACTACAAAAATCTTTGTCTCTCAGTACTTTGACATGTTCATCGAATTCCCTAGTATTTGTTCCAGGTCATTAAAAACCATAAAGCCTATACATTGGATAGGTATTTTAATCAAGAAATACTTCTGTGCTGTTTTTCTTTAACAAGTAAGGTGAGCAGTATGATTTCAGGTACATCAAAATGTTGGTATGTGTGAGCTCTTACCTGGAAACTGATATATTGATATTCTGCTAATTTGAGTTCTGTCTTCTGGAGTTCACAGAAATATATGTCTTTCAGGCTAAAAACTCCATCTTTCAGATTAAAAAAAAAGTTTAAAAAGAATTTTTAAGCAAATTTGGTCAAATGGATCGTATCGTTTCAGTTTTAAAAACGCATCAGTTCTGAAGTGCAATCAAGAATCACTGCAGTAATCTCTTTACTGGAGTATATTTGAAAACTAATATATATATTATCTTCAACATTCTTTTTATGAAATCTAACAGATGTTTAGTGAAGATCAGGTGTAGGCCCTCAGCCAAACACATTTTTCCTGTCATGGGGCTAAATTGCTGCCAACTACTTTGGCCCCAAGGTGGCCCACTATTTTTCTTACCAGGAATACTGAACAAGGTGGAGGAGAGATTCTCTCCGTATTTTCATCAGCCATCACATCATTGTAAAAAAAACCAGGAATTGTCTGAAATTGAAGGAGTGCATTTATGAAATGGTTGGGGTTTATTCCAGCATCAGCGTTACGGAAATTTACATGTTGGCAGACAGAGCCACTAATACACTTGTGCACTCAGATTAGGCTGGCTTTGAGTGTTTAACATCTCTAGAACACCACAAAACAACACAACATGATACATGAAGTAATGCATTTTTTCTTATTTGTCGTATAGCTGTATCCATCAGAATATATGCATTAATGCAGTGTCAGTGCTAGTAAAGAACCAAGTTTCTCCACGAATAGCAGTAGAACCACAGTAAAACAGAGACTGATTTTAAGAACTCCAGAGTGGTATAACCCACCCCCCACCCCCAAAAAAAGCCCAACCCAAACAACCCAACAAAATACACACTAGAAGTTTATAATTGCAAAAGTTTGTTTAAACTGTATTCTTTCTGGAATTATCATATAATTCTAAACTGAACTACAATATATTGTTGTCAGTCTTATCTTCTAGAATAATACTGACAGAATTTTTGTTTATCAACAACTACTGGAAATCACATTGCAAGTCCTTCTGAGATACATTTTTACTTCTTGGTCTCCAGAACAAGGGGTTGTGCTTAATTTTCTCCTCTTTTGTTAAGGAGGAACCTGTATCAAATTACCACTCACTTGTTTCTAAGAGAAACTTCAGAGGAAGTTGCCATGAAACTTTGGACTTTCTGTTAGTTTCTTATAAAAGTATCTTATAAGATTTATTGAACAAAGTTTGTTTCCTTCTCTCTCCTCCTTCGCCCTCTTTTTTTCTGAAATACAAGACACTTCCCTTACTAAGGGGTTTTCTCAACCAGTAGCCACATCTTTACCATTCAGCTTTAATACAAGCCGTCCTTATTTAATAGCTGTCCTCATTTAGTAGCCAGACCTTTATCATTTGTCTTTACTGTGAAAACCCCAGGAGAAAGTAAACTTAATAGAAGCTGCCCCAGTTTAAAGCCATAGAGGGATGTAATTAAGTTTAACAGAAATTGATTTAACAGAAATTGACCTAAAATATAATTAAATAATAATAGTCATATTATGTGTGAGTTTGCACTCACTTAACAGACTGCTTATCCTAACTTAAGGCGCTGTTTTTGTATGAACTGAACGTAACTGTCGGCTTTAGCTCCCAGACTGGCTGAAGAGTGGGTGGGCTTTCCTCCAGCATTCCCACTACTTCCCACTACTGCAGATACTGTGATGGCTGCTGGTGTCCCGAGTAGAGTCCTTAGTAGTTAAGTTGAGAAGTGATTCGAAGAATCCCTTGACAGATGGCAAAAGAACGAATCTGAACCCTGAACTCTGTCTACATAAGGACATTCTCAGATTTTTCTTGATGTTTGTACAGTTTAGCTTCAGTGTAACAGTGAAATGGGTTAATTAGTCCTGAATTCTGTTTTTCCTACAAGATTTAGGAAGTGCTAAACCAACCAAGTAGGAAACATGTTCTTAAATATTTATTTTACAATATTTTGCTATTCAGATTTTAGTAATAAATCTTCATCTATAGCATTCATTTGTATTTAAATAAATGCCAACACATAGTGTATTCTATCTGGATATGGATTAGTTGGGTAGTTGCATATATAAATGCATGCATTAAAATAAATTCCATTACTTCTCAATGAAGTTAGTGTATTTAATTTTAAAGGAAAATACCTTGGTTTGAAGCATTCTTAAAGCTGCATTTAACATCTCTAAGAGCTGGCAAAATGGTTGCAAGGGGAAATATGCCAAAAACAATTATCATAGACTATAACTCCATATGATGCATTAGAATTTTGTTTTATGTGAAACAGTTTCCAATCCATGATAAGCAAATGGACATCACTTCACATAAATTAGCATGCTGGTGCCATTATATCAGAAGAATTTATGGATGATGTCAGTTGCCCAACTGTGTGATTAACTTGCAGTTCTTTGACTAAGGTTATCTACACACTGGCCTTTAAACTACACTAAAGCAACTTTGATATATGTCAGGTGTGCAACTGAGATAAGATTTTGGGATGTAGTGCTCCATTTACTGATGAATGGCACCATTTAAATTTTTCCCTAGGCACAGAAGTCAGTTAGATAGCAGTATCAGAAAACTAAAAAATCAGTGGCAAAGTACTGGCATTGGGGTTGTTATGCAATCAAGGCAGGTAGTTTAGCTTTCTTAGCTATTGAATAAACACTGACTTAAAGGTAGCAAACTAAGACCTGAGTCTAGCTTTAGCAAGCATCATAGTGTATGTAAATACTGATGATTATAAATCGTAAATTTCACACACTTAGAGGATTGACACCAAATTCTGCTTTCCATTGTTGTTGGCTTTAATAGTGAAAAAGCCTTGAGAGAGGCCCTGAAGAGGCTGAAGAGTGTGACTTTCATCCAAGTTTGACTAGCTGTACTATCAGCGGATTTAGTATCACAGTCATCATTAAAGTTTTTTGGTCTTCAAGAAATGTCAGGGAAATAGGTAATGCAAAGGGATAAAAATCACTTCCTTGGCAATAGGTATATTCACAAATCCTTTGTGCAGTCTAATTTTTTATAATCTTAATGAAGAGTGGGATGCAGTACTGTTACATGTTGCTGGTGATCTAATCCAATGTTTAGCTTTTCTGCAAATATGCCTGAGCATGTAGTACTGAAAAAAGTAAGAGTATCTAGCTTATTCTTGATTACTAGAGCATTACTGAGGTCTGTTAACTTTTAACATGGCAAGCACTTTGCTTCTTAAAACTTTTGAGGTATTGCTATT